TGGGGCATCTTGTCTGCAACTTGAGAATTCAAAGGTTCAGGAAAAAGTACAGATTGGGTGCAGTGGTTCGCGTCTGTAATTCCTACACTTTGGGAGGCCACTTGAGCCCAGGAGATGAGACCAGCCCAAGCAACATGGTGAGACCCTGTCTCTACAAAAAACAAAAATTAGCCAGATGTGGTAATGTGCACCTGTAGTCTCAGTTACTCTAGAGACTGAAGGAGGAGGATCACCTGAACCCAGGAGGTGGAGGCTACAGTGAACTGAGACCATGCCATTGTACTCCAGCCTGGGCAACACAGTGAGACCCCTGTCCAAAGGAAAAGGGGAGGGGGAAAGGGTAAGGTTGCAGAGGGCAGGGGAAAGGGAGGGAGTGGAGGGAAAAGAGAGAAAAGAGAGGGAAAGGGAAGGGGAAGGGGAAGGGGAGGGGAGGAGAGGGGAGGGGAGTGGAGGGGATGGGTGGGGAGGGGAGGAGAGGGAAGGGGAAGAAGGGAAAGGAAAGGGATGGGGAAGGGAAGGGAAGGGAAAGGCAAGTGAAGGGAAGGAGAAGAGGAAGGGGAAGGGAAAGAAAGGGGAGGGGGAAGGGAAGGGAAGGGGAGGGGGAAAGGGGGAGGAGGAGGGGGTGGAGAGGGGAAGGGAAGGGGAATGGGAAGGGAAAAGGGAATGAGAAAGGGAAAGGGAAGGGGAAGGAAAGGGAAAGGAAGAAAAAATTAAAAAAAAGCATGTAGGGTTTGTACATTATGCGGGTGTCAGGGGAGATAACTATTAATGAGGAATCTGGATCAAGGCTATACAAGGGCTCTATATATAATTCTTATAATTCTTTTTTAATTTTTAATTCTTCTGTAAACTTGAAATTAATTCAAAATAAACAATGATAACTCATTTACAGACAGACGCTAGGCTCTAAAAAATGGAGAATGGGCAGATAGGGAATCACCAGCAGCTTCCCTGATGGAGGGCCAGAGTGGAGTGCAGAAAGTGCCTATGCAGTCATCTCTTTTGCAAGCGTCAGCTGAAGGAAATCACTACGTCCAGAGAGTAGAGGACAGACTAACCTCCTCTTTTCGCATAAATAACAAGAGAAAGCCATTTACAGGACGTAAGGACAGCTTCACCCAACCTGCTCCTGCCTCCCTCCAACCTGTTAGTGACCACCCCACCTCCTCTCTCCTCCCCCCAAAACCTGCTAGTGTCACCCCACCTCCTGCCTCCTCCCCCCAAAACCTGCTAGTGACCACCCCACTTCCTGCCTCCTCCCCCATGGAGTTCTTCAAACTCTATTTTCTACTTCCAGTCCTTGCTGTTTACTCTGGAGTAGCAGCAGCACAGCCTGTGCAGTTTCTGCTGCTTCCCTAGAGCTGCGGAAACATCCTAGTGAGGCCAAACAGCAGAAGTGGCCAGCACTTCATTTTTCATAAGAAAATGGAGAGTCCCCAAGGAAGGGAGGTCTGGTTCTTTGCCAAAAGTATCCTGAACAATGAGTATATTTTATATAAATCAAGGCCATGTGAAGAGTGGAAGCCAGAATTACAATGATTCAGAAAAATGACTCTTTCGACCAGGAAGGTTTTGGGAAAAAAGTGGCTATATCAGACATATGCTTTAAACCCTGGACCTTGGCTGGATGTGGTGGCTAACGCCTGTAATCCCAGCACATTGGGAGGTGGAGGTGGACAGATTGCTTGAGCCTAGGAGTTCAAGACCAGCCTCGGTAACATGGTGAAACTGCATTTCTACAAAAAATATAAAAATTAGCCGGGTGTGGTAATGTGTGCCCGTAGTCCCAGCTACTTGAGAGGCTGAGGTGGAAGGATTGCTGAAACCTGAGAGGTTGAGGCTACAATGAGTCCTGATCATGCCTCTCTGTACTCCATCCTGGGTGACAGCGTGAGACCCTGTCTCAAAAATAAATAAATAAAAATAAATAAACCCTGGACCCAGTAACTTTTAAGCCTTTTTTTTTTCTTTTGAGACAGAGTCTCTCTCTGTCACCCAGTCTGGAGTGCAGTGGTGCGACCTCGGCTCACTGCAACCTCCGCCTCCCAGGTTCAAGTAATTTTCCTGCCTTAGCCTCCCAAGTCGCTGGGACTATGGGCGTGCCCCACCACACCCAGCTAATTTTTTGTGTTTTTAGTAGAGATGGGGTTTCACCGTATCAGCCAAGATGGTCTCGACTTCTTGACTTCATAATCTGTCTGCCTCGGCCTGTAATCCCAAAGTGCTGGGATTACGGGAGTGAGCCAATGCACCCGGCCTTTTAAGGCTTTTAAAACTAAAAACTTGGGTTAAGAGAAATGGGGCTTTGGCTGAAAACAGTCATCTGGGGGTGTTGCCCTGTGACTCCAACAGGCAAATAATCAGTCCTTGTTCCTGCTCCTCAGGGGTGTCTCAGTAACTTCCCGGAGGGAAACTTTGTAAGTGCAGAGGGCAGGGTGCTCTCAGGGACAGAGCGGCGGCAGCAGTCACCTCTGTCCCTCCGTGTGCCTGCAGGACACAGGCCCACGGGGTGGAGAGCAAGGCGCCACTGGGCCTTTGCAAGGCAAAAGATGGCAAGGCAACTTTTTCTGGGGGGCTGGTGGGAAGACTTGCATCTGACGATGGAGAAGCTACTGGGCAAGTTCATTTTCTGAGATTTTAATATGAAGCACTTTGTAACTGGGCATAAAAAGCATCAAGCAGGTGAATCATATTGTTCCATGTGGTGTTTCTACCTGAAACATTCTCTTAATCTTATGGTTTACCCCTGAAACATGTTTGAAAATAAGAATCTGCTAACCCATGATAGAAGCATTGTAAAGGTTGGGGGGAATGCAATCAGGACCCAAACGCATTCCCAGAGAAATTCCCTCAGGACATTCCCACAGCTCTGCGGTGCTCCCCGGGTGAGCCACCTTCTGGTACCTCCCAAGTGCATTCTTTAGACTATGAGGCTTCCTCTGGGAGCCCATGCCAGTCTGTCTCCAGCCATCTTGGCCTGCTCCAGAATTCTGACCTTTCCAAAACCTGCCTTCCAACATGGAAGGGCCTTCAAGAGTGACTCTGGTTGTGGACAAAGACTCAGGGAAGAGGAGGATTCTTCCTCCTTGGCGAAAGCCCCTCAGGCAAACAACGGACACCGGAACACAAACACACTCTTCTGCTGTTAGTCCGGAGTCTTTAGGATTTTTTACAAAAGAGGGTGGAAGGGAAGAAACCTGGCTGCAGCGAAATGCTTCATGAAAATATTTGCAGGCTATGAGCTTGTAAAAAGCATACACTATATTTTGCTATTTATTTATTTAGAGACAAGGCCTCTGTCCCCCAGGCTGGAGTGCAGTAGTACAGTAATGGCTCATTGCAGCCTCCTCCTCCTGGGCTCCAGCGCTTTTCCCACCTCAGCCTCTCAAGTAGCTAGGACTACAGGTATGCACCACCACACCTGGCTAATTTAAAAAGTTATTTATAGAGATGGGGTTTTACTACGTTCCCCAGGCTGGTCTCCAAATCCTGGGCTCAAGAGCTCCTCCTACCTTGGCCTCCCAAAGTGCTGGGATTACAGATGTGGCCCACCGCACCCAGCCATGTGAAAAGCAATATAGTACAGACAATATATAATATTATATAGCTGATCCATAAAATAAAATCAGAATTCACGAGTTCATACTGATATAATAAACAAATGGGGAAGATGAAAAATTCTTCCATATAGTAGAACTACAATTAGTAAATGTACAAGAAATGATGAAAATAGACAATCAACATTTGGCAAATGTCACAGAAACGAAGCTTCAGGCTGGACTTAATCATCGAGGGATACAAATGAGTGGGCAAAAGTTTGATGAGATCAGGATATTCACACAGTATCATACCATAACATACTTACTAATTACCAGGAGAAAAACTAACTTCACAGTGAAGAAAGTTGGCAGGTACCACCTAAAGCAAGTAATGAAAGCAACAATGGGACAAATCAATGTGATGTGCCTCCTGACACAATGCACTGAGAATACAATGGCACTTTCATGGTATTCTTGACCAAAATGGATTTAATCAAGAAAAAACGAAAACTGAGGACACTATACAAAATACCTGGCCAGTACGTACTGAGGTAGGGTAAGGAATGGCTAGGCAGGGTGGTTCATGCCTGTAATCCCAGCACTCTGGGAGGCTGAGGTGGGTGGATCATTCGAGACCATCCTGGCCAACACAGGGAGACCTCAACTCTGCTAAAAATAGAAATATTAACCAGGCGTGGCAGTGTGCAACTGTAGTCCCAGCTACCTGGGAGACAGGTGGGAGGACTGCTTTAGTCCAGAAGATGGAGGATGCACTAAGTCATGATCTTACCACTCACCACTGCACTCCAGCCTTGGGGACAGAGTGAGACCCTGTCTCAAAAAAAAAAGAAGAGAGGAAAAAGGAAAGGGAAGGGGTGGGGGGGGGAGAGAAAAGGAAATAAATAAAAGAAAAGATGAGGAATGAGGAACTACTCAAGATTAAAGGAGATAAGACCAAAGAGATCTGACAACTAAACGCATGATTACAGGGTCCTGGACCAGAAAAAGGGACCTCAATGGGACAGTGTTACCTTCTTGATTTGGGTACCTGTGGTTGTTATATAAGATGTTAACATTCTCTGCGGAGGGCACATGAGAATTTTTTGTCCTATTTTGGTAACTTTTTCTAAGGCTAAATTACACTTGAAAACATAAACATTAGGGATTAGGCTTTCTTCCAATACCCAGTGCCTGACACTGTAAAGCTTTGTAGGCTGTGGGAAGAGGGTGTTGGGACCCATAGGGACCTTATCAGGGGCAAACTCAGGCCCTGAGGTTTATAGACACAATTCATGATAACCTTCAAAAGATGTAAAAATATCCCAAATAGGTTTCTGGGGAGGGTCACAGGCATGCCATGCCCCTCCTTCAGCCTCTGGAAGGAGCTGTGCACTTCTAAGACCCAGTCATGACCTGGGAGCGAGAAATGCAGGTAGAAAACAGCGCATGTCCCTCACTTACTTGTCTTGGGATTCGATGTACACGTAGAGATGAGGCTCAAAGCACTTGGAAACGATGCCATGAAATGGATTGTCTGGGGCTTTGGGCTTCTTTGGCTGTAAAAACAAAGAAAAATAAACCCTATACTTGAGTGGTCTTTGCAAATGTTCAAGAATTTTTTTAAAAAACATCATTTCAAAGTTCACAATACGAGAATACTCGACATAATTAAAGTGGGAAAACGTCAGCTTCACGATTCACCCCAGTAGGTGAACAAAACACCAGCTCTGTTAGCATCACTGGCTTGCTGTGGACGGTGGAAGACTTACTGTTACTCTGATAACATACGGGTTTTAATTAGCTGGGCATGGTGGCGTGTGCCTGTAATCCCAGCTACTCAGGAGGCTGAGGCAGGAGAATTGCCTGAACCCAGGAGGTGGAGGTTGCGGTGAGCCGAGATCGCGCCATTGCACTCCAGCCTGGGTAACAAGAGCGAAACTCCATCTCAAAACAAACCCAAAAAACAAAAACATGTGTTTTGAATCTGGAAGCTAGTCATCATCTATCTGACTGGCTTTTTCCAGAATTTACATCCTGGCTAATAACAGCACCTTGTACTTGTACACTGCTTTAGAATTTACAAAATGCTTTCACACAATCCAATTTTTGACAACCTCCATTTACTGATTGTTATTATGGGCCAACCACTTTGATACCAACAAATATGTCACCTGTTCCTCACAATAACCCTTCATGTAGGTATCCCTACTACTTATACCACAAGAAATGAGGACTCCGAGGCTCTCTAACCTGCCCTGAGACATATGTAGAAGTCTGCTTTTCTTCCATGATACAATTCTTTCTATTGTATCATCATTTTCCTGCAATGGTTCCCAGAAGGTTTTGAATTTCATCAGTAAGAAAATGCAACAAAAAGAACGGTGGAGAACCAATAGAGGATTGTTACCCTTATTTTGCTACTTTCTATTCTTACCACAAGTTCCTAAAAAATATATAGGTTTGTTTTCTTGAGACAGAGTCTCCCTCTGTCACCCAGGCTAAAGTCTAGTGGTGCCATCTCAGCTCACTGCAACCTGTGCCTCCTGGACTTAAATAATTCTTGTGTCTCAGCCTCCTAAGTAGCTGGGATTACAGGTATGAGCCACTATGGCTAGCTAACTTTTGCCTTTTAAGTAGGGATGGGTTTTGCCATGTTGGCCAGACTGGTCTCGAACTCCTGGCCTCAAGTGATCCACCTGCCTTGGCCTCCCAAAGTGCTGGGATTACAGGCATGAGGCACCATGCCTAGCCAGAAAAAAGTATTTTATGCCCCAAATCTTATAAGAATAAAATAGCAGCATATAGGCAGTACTTTCTGAGAAAGGACAGAACGGGGCGGGGGGGGGGGGCGTGGAGAGAGAGAGAAAAACACACACAGAGGGAGGGAAGCAGGCAGGCAGACTATACTGTCTATCTTTTTTGCTTTAGGCCACTGTAACCCTAGATCAGCACTGGTTCCCAGACCATTACTTGGAAGCCACTAATAAAGAAGCCATATGACAGCAAAGTATTTTAAAACTGTATTTGCTACTTAATTCCTTTCCAAATAAAAATTAAGCAAAGATTTTCCTACATGTTACTTTCTATTCCTAAAAAATGTCAATTCTGTCTATTGCCAAATGGTCACAAAATGACCCTGAGGCAAAAACGCCTTGCTGGGGCTGGTACTAGAATACAGTGTGTACGTAAACTGCACCTACAACATACTGGTTAAATTGAACTACTCAGATCTCATTTTTCTAACCCCACTTTACTGAGGTATGACTGACATTTTAAAAGGCCGACATATTTAATGTATACAGCCTGACGAGTTTGAGAATAAGTAAACACCATGAACCCCTCACCACCACCAAGGCCATGTGTATCTACCACCTCCCCAAGCTCCCTCCCACCCCTGTAGCTGTTGTTATTATTACTTGTGGTAAGAATACTTAACATAAGATCTACCCTCTTGAACTGCTTATATATTTTAATACATACTGGAAGAGCTAAGCCCCAATGACAGGCAAAGATGGTAATCACCTATTTCTGTTTTTTAAAATAACACACTGCATTAGCTAAAAACAACTGTAAAAACTGATCTATAAAAAAAGATCACCAAAAATTAAATGTCAACTTTAGACACACTCATTCAATGTAGTACTTAGCCCTCCTCCCTTTCTACCTTCCAAGTATTCGACGTCTTTAATTTTTTGCAAGGTTTCTAGAAACTCTGGTCCTTCCTAAGAATAAATACCATCTCCACCATTTACTCTTATCATCTGGAAGCCACTGCCACAGTCAAGCCTCAGAGTAAGACCCCCACAGGGCCTTAGGGGCCATGCAAGACTGGCTGACTGGGCTTGCATCTGCTGGATCTAGAATTCCACACTAGTGCAGATGTCCTGGGAGTTTTTCTGCACTTCCATTACTTTAAGATGAAGGCTCTATGATGGAGGATGAGGACTATGAGGGGTGGTCCTCACCCATTTGTCATTTTTTTTCCAAGTCAGTATCTATTTTTTATTACTTTTTGATTCCAAAAGATGATTTAAGTGAATAGAAAAATGTAATTTAATTTGTCTGACTCTGTAAGACTAGATATCATGGTTTAAGATTTGGAAAACATAACTACTACAACCAGATATCTTTTTATTAATTAAACAATAATTATAGGTATTATAGTTATTTTTTTTCTTCTTTTGAAGAACTTTCACATTCTGCAGGATAACTTCTGGTAATTACACATGGAAATTTACATAACACAGAATGTTGTCATTTAAAAAAAATCAACATGAATATTTTCTGCTTTTGTTTTTTCTTTTTTTTAATTTTTGAAGAGATATTTTGTATTCAGCTTTACTGACTTACTAATTTATGCATACTTTCCCAACTTTGGACAATATTTTATCACTGTGAAATGGCTACAATATGAAAAATTACTTAAGTCAACAGATTATCTAATGTATAAGTCTATCTAATCTATGTAAGTTTATCTAATAATCTATATGAGTCTATCTAATCTATAGACTTAAAATGCCTACAGATAAGTATATAGACTTAAAAAGTCTATAGACTAGATAATACTACTGTACTGATGTTAAATTTTCCGATTTTGATCTACGGTAAATGAGTGAACTTACAAATTGTTCCAAAGGTGGGGGAGTAGGGAGGAAATTATAGTTATGTAGGAAAATGTTAACAATTGCTGAATCCAGAAGAAAGATATTTACAAGCTCCTTGTAACTTTTCTCTTCATTTGACATTATTAACTGTCCCCTGGAGGAAGCTGGGAGATGGGAAGGGGTCTGGATCCACTTCCTGGTTTGGTGATGCACTACAGTACGTTAACTTTCCTCCTGGAAGAAGCTGGGAGACGGGAAGGGGTCTAGATTGATTGATTTCCTCATTTTGATGATGCACCATCGTATCTTAGCTGTCCCTCTGGAGAAAGCTGGGAGATTGGTACGCTGTACTAGGTTTACAATTTATAAGCCCATAATTATTTTAAAATATAAAGTTTTAAAAAAAAGTGGTTCAGAAGATGTGGCCCCTGCATGTGAAGAAGTTTTAGAAATATCTTCATCTATTTATTTTCCTTATACTTTCCTTTTACATATGCAGAAAAGTGATGTATGATTTGAAAGAAACTATTTGGAATGAGTCTCAAGAGCTCATTTGGTAAGTATAAAATACAGATTCTAAGTGAGAAAAGAAAAGAGCTATATAATTCCACGGCACTCATCCTGATCCGTCTACCACAGGTCCTGCCACAATAAGGCTCCAAAAGACATTCAGGCTGCAGGACCAGGCAGCGCCAGGGTTGCACCCCTACCTGCAGATGACTCGACCCTGCCCTGCCCTGCCCCGCCCACTAACAGCACTCTTTTGCAGCGAAGCGGAACCCTGGCCCTGCCACCACAGCAACCGGATCCTCTTGCAGCATTTTTAGTGTGAGCTGAAGCAAGAGAGGAATAACAGGAGGGACTGCCTCAAGTTTCCTTTCTTCTTACTTTTTTCCTGCAGGGCTGTCTCCTGCCTACGGCTGCGTTGTAAATGTGCTCAGTTTAGATAGGAGGTGCTGGAATTTTGGCTCAAACTGGCATCTCTCTTTGCACCAGGCAGCTCCCCAGAGGGTTGATTCTCAGCTTCAACACAACGCTAAGTTGTTTAGCAGCAGGTTGAGGCCGCGTTTCTGTGTGTGTGAATTCTGTCCAAAAGCTGCAGATGTTTAAGCTATTTCCTCCCGGAGTTTGATGGAATAATAAAAGATTACTGTTGTCACAGTGAGGAGGTCTGCAGCTGCTCCCATTTCCTTTTATTGCTACCCAATGTAAACAGATTAAATCTAACTGTGTGGATCACCAGAAAGGTACTTTTTAAAACCAGAAATGTCTTATTTCTTCTCCTTTCTTTTATACTTTCAGTACCCCTCAGTCCCCTTTCAGATGTCATTTTTTTATCACTGGGAATATCCTGGCAACTGATTACTCAGGACCTTCTGTAAACTAAATAGCTTTTTTCAAGTTCACTCTCTCTTCTCAGGAGCCAGGCGTAAACTGCAAGTGGTGAGCAGGGAGTGACCCTTACCTTGAAGGCCAAATGCTACTGACTGCAGCAATGTAACAGGTCAGGTCACCCACAAACCAGTAGGGACCTTCCCTCTAACCACCTTCTGGCTGATTTTGCCACTAACACCTGGTGGGTCCCTCCTCCACCCCACAGAGCTCTTGCTCTTGTTGTGCACCCCACTCTGAGAAGAGGGAGACCCTGAGCCCCTACCTCAGCCACAAGCAAGGCCAGGCCGGTGAGGCAGCAGGAGGTCAGGGATGGCGTGGGTGGAGGCATTAGTCACTGGTGTGTAAGTTTTATTACTATTGAGTAATAGCCCATGAAATGGTGGGTGGATCAGCTAGATCAGGGGTTTAGTTTTTTTTTTTGAGATGGAGTCTCACTCTGTCTCCTAGGTTGTAGTGCAGTGGCGCAATCTCGGCTCACTGCAACCTCTGCCTTCCGGGTTCAAGCAATTCTCCTGCCTCAGCTTCTTGAGTAGCTGGGATTACAGACATGCACCACCACACCCGCTTAATTTTGTATTTTCAGTAGAGATGGGGTTTCACCACATTGGACAGGCTGGTCGCGAACTCCTGATCTCAAGTGATTTGCCTACCTCGGCCTCCTAAAGTACTGGGGGTTATGGGCGTGAGCCACCAGGCCAGGCCAGTTTTTTATTTTTATTTTTAATGACATAAAACCCCTGATTGAAAAGAAATTTTATCCAAAAGCCCACAATACAAAACGACTCAAAACAAAACTGCTCTGATTGCAGGCACCTAGGTCCCTGGTCTCCTAGCTTCACAGCGACACCTGATGGGCACCGAGGAACACAGTTTGAAAACCATGAGCTCTCACTAAAGACCAACTAGGGAAGTCTAAAGAGAGAAAATAACCAGCCTGAAGTCACATGGTCGGTCAGTTAACAACCGACCAGAGTCTGGCATTTTCCCAGCACGTGGCTCTGCTTTACCCCATGTATCTGTCAGATGTCAGGCTTCTGTGTTCTCAGAATGAGCAGGTCTTGGTCCTTACAACAGTAATGTCAAGCTTCCATATGAGGAAAAAGTTACAAGAAAAAGGAAAATCATACTTCACCTGGCAAAACTGATTGTAAGGAATGGGGCCTCTCTATCTTAATCCAATTTAATAACATCCAGAGATGACTAGCAAAAGGAGTAACTCTTCCTGGCAACACTGCAAGTATCTGAGCGTGTAAACGCACCATTTTGGACACAACTATGGCAGCTGCTAGCACTGGTGAGACATCAGGGCTCTGCAAACGGCTCTCCTGCACAAACAATGCTCACAGGTGCAGCTGGCCCAGTGTGGGAGGAGGACATGGCAGAAGAATGAGCTCTACACCCAAAGCCTTCTTCCCACCCTAGTCCCTGCTCCCAGAAATGTGAGAACTGCATTTAATTAGTTAGAGGAAATGGCTGTTTTCTCCCATGCCAGTCACTACTATGATGGCTTTAAATCAACTGCACCTACTTCTATATACACATCTCTGGAATGAAGCCTCCTTAAGATGTCCCATCAGTTTTGTTCATTTACTTCTATTCCTGAGATTCATTTCTATATCCTCCACTCTTGAATGAGACATGAGTCATAAACAAAATAGCACTGGGAAAGGAATTAGAGTTTCTGACACTGAGGCCTGGCTTCCAGTTTAAGCTCCTCCACTTCCAAACTATGCAACCCTGGGTCAATCAGTTAACCTCTCTGAGCTGCAGTTTCATCACCTATAAAGTGAGAGGCAAGAACTGTGAAGATGAAATAAGGCACGTAAAAGAATTTAAAACTGCAAAGCACTATAAAAGCATGAGGTATTCCTTTCATTGCAATCATTCAATTGATGGACCAGACACTGTATTGCATCATTTCAGAGCTGATCCTGGAGTTCTGCTCTCCTGGTTCTTGCCCTCACCGTGCTGGGAATGAATGTGGGACAAGCTGCTAAGTGTATGGGTACAGGTTTCCCAGAGCTGGTCCTCCCAGCCAGCCTCCCTTTTGGTGGTGTCTGGAGCAAAACAATACCATAAAATAATCCTCCAGCAGCCAAGTGTAGAAAATTAAAAAGAGGGATCACAAATCCAGAAAGGAAAAGTTCTGATTTATTGCTCTAACCTCCCTTGTCATAAAATGGCAGTGAAACAAAAACACCATTCTGTAGATGAAGGGAGAGGAAATTTAGACTTGGACAGAAACATCGAAAGGAAATGAAAGTGCTAGTGTGCTCTGAAAAGTAGCTCTCCAAATAGGCCACTGGTCACCTTGCATTTTCAACCCTAAAGTGATTTGCTTACATTGCATGGAGGCCTCTCCCAGCCGATGGTGCTGCTAGCTTCCTGGGAATCGCTCAGACTCTCACATCATAACCATACCAGATGAGAGTAAAATGCAAAACCAAGCTGACAAGCTCAGGAGACGCTGAATGAGGCAGAGCGGAACTCTTCCGGCCCCACCACAGTGGCTCATGAAGCCTGTGTGTGTCCTGGTGGCGGGCTCTTCAGGAGCAGAGCTGTGGGGCAGGAAAGTCTGCCCTTTAACAGAGTTTTCTAAATGCACTTTCAGATAAGGGTCTTCTATAAAGACCACCAGAGCTGTCATCTCTGAATGTGGCCAGGAGCCAAAGGATCATATCTGGAGCAAGTGGATCCATTTTCAGAAACACACATCAGGTAAGTTACCCATGGTGACGCAAACCAGACTTACTTGACCTAAATCTCCTTTCTCTGTTGCCAGTTCCTCCATCTCTGGTGTTGGCTCATCTTCCAGGAAGGGATTGGTAGAAGTGGGTGGAGACTCAAGTTTTTTCTGTTAGGTAGATATAAGAAACAGAAGTATTTTCTGAGCCTATTGAACAACCTTCACCATTGATCCACTTTTTCCAGGTGTCTCCAACAGTTAAGTCATAAACTCTGATCCACTAAAGAACTGAAGCAACATAGACCACATGCTTACCCCCAGGCCTTCACACTGTCCTTCTGTCTTCCTGAAGCTTCCCTCACTACCCTGCCCCAACTCTAATCTTAGGCATCATTCAGTCTTCAAATTAGAAGTCCCTTCTGCTGGGAAGCCTTTCCTATCTATCACATTTGGGTTAGATGTCCCTGACGTGTTCCCAAACCATGCTACATGTCCCCTACCCAGGCATTTATTAAAATACTGCAGTTGCCCATTTGTCTTTTCCTTTCTGCCTCCATGATGGCAGAGATTATGTCTATCTTGTTCCCCATCCTATCCTGGTGCCTAGCATGTAGCAGGTCTTCAATAAATAGAAATGAATCAAAGTGCCAGATGGATTTGAATGCAAGAACAAACTACAAAGCTAATCTCATGCGTTCTAGATTAACAGACGACTCCTCCCAAGTAAGCCCCATTACCACAACCACAACTCCTTGAGAAAATCTACTTCTCAGCTTCCAAATACGACCATTATTTGAAAACACGGCCCTGAGTGGAACCAAGGCTCATGGGACAGCTGGAGGAGGAGACATGGGCATGGCCTTGGTGTAGCTCCGACTGTGCTGCACTAGCCATATCACCCAGCTTCTCTGAGCCACAGATAATTCATCTGAGGGTGTAGTCGCAGGACTACCTGAAGGCTCAAATGTGAAACCCTAGAAGCAGCACATGATATACACACAAGGGTCGCTGATGATGTTAACTCCAGTACAACTACAGAATCAAGGCAGCTCTTTGGAATTTCTTTACCGTTTTTACCTAGAGATGTTGTTTATGCCTGGGAGCTAACGGCTTTAGCAGAAAAGAGGCCAACTGCACAAACAGAAAGGAGGAATTACTGGTGCTGGGGATGAGGGAATGGGGCAAGGCATGGCTCTCCAAAGACAAGAAGTTAAGTGGAGAGGGAGTTTTGAAATGTACTTGATATTTTAGCCATTACCAGTGGGTCAACCTGAATTAATCTCTAAGCCAAAAGAGACAGCAGATGGACTACAGTGTGAATGACTTTGCCAAGTGCCAGGTTATCATCTGAAGATATTAAAAACAAAAAAACAAAAACAAAACTTATAAAAAGGCCAGGCATGGTGGCTCTTGCTTGTAATCCAGGCAGTTTGGGAGGCCAAGGCAGGCAGATCACTTGAGGTCAGGAGTTTGAGACCAGCCTGGCCAATATGGTGAAACCCCATCTCTACTAAAAATACCAAAACTAGCAGCATGGTGGTGGGTGCCTGTAATCCTTGCTACTCAGGAGGCTGAGACAGGAGAATCACTTGAACCTGGGAGGTGGAGGTTGCAGTGAGTGGAGATGGTACCACTGCACTCCAGACTGGGTGATAGAGTGAGACTCCATCTCAAAAAATAAATAAATTAAGCAAATAAATAAAAAAAACCTCAGACGAAAACACTATACCTGCATCTGGTTTTGGTTGTAAAACAATTCGGCGTATAGTCATTTAAACTACTTGTTTGTTGGCCAAAACACCTGGATGCAATTTATGTGGATGGAAACAGCCTCCGTGCTTGATGGAGCCTTGTAATGACTGCATTAGCTCGAGGTAATAATTAGTAAGATGATGACTGTTGTGGCATCCTGGTGAGAAACAATATGGTCTAACACCCAAGCAATTATTTCAAATTTCCACACTCCAAGCTTTGGCTTCTTTACCTGATATGAAAGAAAAAACATCCTTATAAACTTACAGCTCTTTTTAGAAAACAGTATTTCTAAGCTTGAATTGTCTTCTTAAGGGCTGCTGATATTTTAGAGAGAAGAATAGTAAGAAAAGGAATCTACCAAGCTCAATCTTCAACAACCATAAAAAAAAAATTAGTTAATAGCATTAGATTCCTGACTCCACTGGCTTAACAGTGGGCTTTGGGATTATGCTGTTGAGCTGAGTCACTACGACTCTAAGTTTTCTGGTCCTTGGTAGATGTGAAAAGCACGTCAGCTAACAGAAGTTAAAAGCTTTGTTCAAAATCATTCAGTGGCAGACACAGATTTTGGATTTTTGAGCTAAATCTTCCTCATCTATTGCTGAGTCTATTGGGTTGATAACAGCACCTCACAATCACGTAAGGTGGGCCTCATTTTAAAACATAATAAAACATAATGTGTTATCGAGACCATCCTGGTCAACAAGATGAAACCCTGTCTCTACTAAAAATACAAAAATTAGCTGGGCATGGTGGTGCGTGCCTGTAGTCCTGGCTACTTGGGAGGCTGAGGCAGGAGAATTGCTTGAACCCAGAGGGCGGAGGTTGCGGTGAGCCGAGATCGTGCCATTGCACTCCAGTCTGGGTAACAACAGCGAAACTCCATCTCAAAAAAAAAATAACGTGTTACTGGAAATCATGGCAGAAAGCAGGTATCAGTGAAGCGGGCTGAGGATGTTCCTGGGCTCTACTCCTGCTGGTGCAAGGCATCAAGAAAACAGGCCAAGAGGATGAAGTGGAGCATATCGGGCACCATCGGAGGCTGTGGGAGCACGGGGCTCACTCAGTGTCACAGGGCCAGAAGCCTCCCAAGCTCTCCTCCCTATTTCAACAGTCTGTCTCTATTCACATTTTTTCTGTTTCGTTTTTTAGACAGAGTCTCACTCTGTTGCCCAACCTGAAGTGCAACAGTGTGAGCACAGCTCACTGCAGCTTTAACCTCCCAGGCTCAAGGCATCCTGCCAACCTCAGCCTCCCCGAGTAGCTGGGACTACAGGCTCATCACCACACCCAACTAATTTTTGTATTTTTTGTAGAGATGGGTTTTGCCATGTTGCCGGGATTGGTCTCAAACTCCTGACCTGAAGCAATCCATCTGTCTCAGCCTCTCAAAACACTGGGATTACAGGCAAGAGCCACCATGCCAACCTCTATTAACATTCTGATGCAATGAGGGGAGTCGTGGACCCTCAAGGAGCTCCTAGCTCACTCATTTGTGGCATACACATTCCACGTGTGGACCAAATTAGTACAGGAAAAGTGATTCATTCCTCCACTCATCGATTCAACAAATGGCTGTGCTGGGCCCCAGGAGCAGAGCAGTGAGCAAGACAGGCAGCCTCAGCCTCATGGAGATCAGAGTCTGCTAGGGAGACAGCCTTCAATCCAAATCACAAAAACAGGTGAGACAAGCCAGGGAGGAAAAGTAGTTGTTACAGAAACACGGAAGAGAGGGCCATGAAGACTTCCCTAAAGAAAGAATGTGAGTGAGAGCTGAAGAATGCCTCTGAGTTCAACATGTAAGGGGGGCAGGAGAACAGGGTGGATAGATCTCTCTAGGTGCAGGGAACAGCATGTGTCTGTGCTCACTCAGTGATGATGTTCTGAGCATCTACTCTGTTCTAGGCACCCTTGGGTGCACCAGGGATGCAGGTGAGTAAGGCAGATTAGAGAGGAGGCACTGCAGTGGTGACAGGAAAACTCAGGGAGTAGGATGAGCTGGGGAAGAGGGTGGGAAAGTGCTTCTACATATGGGGTAGTCAGAAAAGGCCTCTGAGGAGATGATGGCTGAGCTGAAGGAGCTGCTCAGGCAAAACCCAAGGAAGAGTGTTCTCAATGGGAGGATCCGGCGGGATGCTAGAAAGAGCGTGGTGAGTCTGAGAGACAGAAGGGAAGGTGGGGGCATGAGGTAAGAGGGGTGGCAGCAGCCCAACTGCATTGCCTCTTGTGGGCCATGGTAAGGGTCCATTTTCTTCTCATTCCAACTTGATAATCACTGGTGGTTTTAAACAGGGAAGTGATGTGATCTAATTTGATTTTAAGAATATTACACTGCTGTGGGAGAATGGAATACAATGAAGACAACCAATTTAAGAGGCTGCTACAGTGGCTGCTCCCTTTCCAGGAAAGGGCTGATGGGGACTCAGACTAAGCTGGTGGTGTAGGATAGAAAAAAGGGTCTATCTGATTTGGGGCAGAGTTAGGAGGAAGAGCCACCAAGAGAGTCTGATGAGAGACTGCGAACATGGGCAAAAGCATGAAAGGAGTGAAGGAACACTCACTCTATGGCCCAGGCAACTGCGTGGCTGAAGTTGCCCTGAACTGAGATGGAGCACCCTTGTGGAACGGCAATGGGACAGGCTCCAGACACGACAGACCCGGGTTCGAGTCCACCCTGAACTGAGATGAAGCATACTCGTGGAGTGGCACAAGCTCCGAATGTGGCAGATCTGGGTTCAGGTTCTACCACAGGGGTGCCTTAGTTCTCCTGTCTACAATTTGAAGAAACAGGAATGCTCTCCTGGTCTGGCTGGCGTGAGGATGAGATGATGGCATGCACGTCAGGCATGAGGCATGCAGTCATGTGCCACATCATGATGTTTTCATCCATGATGGGCCACATGTACGGCGGTGGTTCCACTAGATTATACTGGAGTCATATGATGGAGCAGGCCGGGGTCCCCCACCCCTGGGCCACCAGTCCGCACAGCATGAGGTGGGCAGCAGGTGAGCGAGCCTGACTACCTGAGCTCTGCATTACAGTCTCACAGGATGGCAAATCCTGTTGCAAACTGTTCACGTGATGGATCTAGGCTGTGCACTCTTATGAGAATCCAGTGCCTGATGACCTCAGTTATAACAGTCTCATCTTGTTTACATGAGGGATCTAGGCTGCATAGTCCTATGAGAATCCAGTGCCTGATGATCTGAGGTAGAACAGTCTCATCTTGTGCACGTGAGGGATCCAGGTTGCACACTCCCATGAGAATCCAGTGCTCGAGGATCTGAGGTAGATGTTTCATCTGGAAACCATCCCCTTAACATCACTCCCCGCACTCCCACCTCCACCCCACCTATGGAAAAACTGTTCCACGAAACCAGTCCCTGGTGCCAAAAAGGTTGGGGACGGCTGG